CTTGCATGCCTCAAACTACATTTCCAGTTGCGGAACAACCTGGACGTTGTGGATGTGCATAGAAGGCTAAGGTGTGGACACGGTTCAACATTTGGCTTCAAAACTCAAAATGGCTGGAGCAGGAAGAGTTGTGGAGCTTGAGAAAGGACTACAGGACTATAATACCGGTATTCATCGTCTCCATTCTGAAATCGTCGTTTTCCAGGACCACTGCCATCGCCTGAGAGACTACGAAGGCATCCCTACAATCCCTTATGTCTCCCATGCGATGCCTCTCCGACGAACTACTTGTATGGATTTTTGGGTATGCATGTTAAACGAATAAGCCCGCTCGGCAGGAGTTGAATAATATGCCCGCATCGGCAAACAGCGCTGTGTGCTCACAGTGGCGGAAACTCTCTAGAGGCCTTTTTCAGAGCTATGGGGCCGCATCCAAATTTATTTTTCAATGATTGGCCATTGCGGTCGGTAAGGGAAATGCAAAGCTTCTGAGTGGAAAATCAAGACAAAACTGACTGTTTCGAGAGCGATGTGCTAAAACGCGCTGTTCCTTGTGGCTGGAAACCATCACTGCTTAAATCATCATCATACTCGAACTCGAATTCATCCCACGTACAACTTCTCCGACACTGGAAGACGATGAAGCAAGTGGCCAAACAATTTACAGACAAAGCGGCCTAGACGCATAGTGAGGTGTGATAATTCCATGTAAATTCAAAGGGTTGTCGAACCTGTGTAAATTAAAACATGGATAACGGATGAACACTGTAAAGAAATTGGAGAGCTCGTCTGATTGCTCGAACTGGATGTAAGACAGCCTTCGCATTTTTAGCTAGAAATGGCGCGATATACTTGGAAATTTCTGCGAAAGGCCATGATCTAACAAGACGTCCATTGTCTCGTCGTTGAGGATGAATCCATGAACCACAATGTGCATAAGACACATCACAATGAAAGTACAAGGTATCGTCTCTCGAGTAAAAGAGATACGCGGAGAATATTTGAACTATTCTGGAAGATTAGCGCAAATCTGACGATACTCCGAAAGAGGACCAGAGCTCGTTGACTTGGAATGGATGAACGTACTCGACGAAGTTTTCTGCAACTTCCATTGGTCTGATTGAGCAGAAAGAGAAAGATTGTTACCGCAACTGACTAGATATAAAGTTCACCATTGAATAGTGAGTTGATAAGTGACTGGAGCTTAAGGGATACATTCAATGCAGAGGCCGGGAGAGATTTGATCTTCAGTTCGCAAAATCACAGACGCTCATTACGGCAGATATCTTATCTTATCTTATCTTTTCTCCTTGTCCAAAAACCAATATGTCGAGCGTTGGAGTATTGTCCAACTCGCCGGTGTCGACCCGAGGAGGCTCGCCAGTCCGTCGAAAAGGCAGCTCCAACATCAGTGTCGATGATCCCGAGAATCGTGCTAGGCTTTCACCGACGTTGGCAAGGTCATTCGATCCCAATGATCCTCAGGTCAGAGAACGTCAGCAAACTCTGGATATGGATATGGCAATGCAGCTTTCCAAGGCCCGCAGAGATACTATCACTACTTCTCCAACAGTTCCACTTCAGGAAATACAGGGAGAGACCCAGGATAATGTTGCTCGAGCTAGACTTTCACCTCGGGAGCAGCGTGAAATAGATATCGCTCAAGGGCCTTCCATGGAGGAGATAGATGACCTAGATTCTATTACAACCAAGCGACAACCTTCGCCTGTCGACCTTCGAGACCTTTTACCTCAAAACCATGATCCCAGCTTACTCGTTTCATTAAACTCTGCCGTGCATCCATCAAGAGACGATCCATCTGCATCTGCGTATGGCGCTCTTCCAACCTACCAAGCAAACATGTCACAGTCTGCTTTCAATTTTGTGCAGATGGAAGCCTTCGCCGCTTCTGAAAGGCTTGCATTGGGAATCAGTTCAAGCAACACAACGAAATTCAGCCTTCCTCCTCTCAGAAATCAACTATTTTCAGATGATGTATTTTTACCGAGACAATCGCATCCCGCACCATTATTGGCAGACAAGTCCGGGCCTGCACCTGCCGATGTTCCTGTCGCTAACAGTGAAACTGTTGACTCGGCGCTATCCGACACTGCTGCTGCTTCTTCCTCTATCCCAATCCGACAGCGCAAGCTCAGTCAGAGCAATCCACATCCACGCTCCCACCGCAAAGGGATTGGGGGCAAGCTCGCTTTGTTTGAGACCACACACGGCGGCTCTTCTGGTCCAAACAGAATCCCATTTTCTCTCGGACCTGGCGGCAACGCTAGTGCTATCGGTGCTCCCACCGCAAATGACCCCCCTTCATTCGACAACGGCTCCACTTCATTGTTCCGTCCAGCCACTGTTCCCGCCACGCAATACCCTTCAGTACCTGGCCTCAACACAGGACACGATCGACCATACCGTTTTTCATTTTACTCCAATGCTCTCCCTTCCACCATACATGCTCGGAGTCTCTCTGAGATTCCTGCGGAAGGGCAGACGTTCGAGGATCTCTTTGCAGGTGTCAATCGAGATCGCAATGATCCTCATGTCAAAGACAAGAGGCCAACGAGTGCAGGGCCGAAAGGATATTTCCCTGGAAACGCGAAGCCCTCATATCGAAGTAGACCTGGCTTTGGCGGTGGTTTAGGTTTCTCGAGTTACGAGGGTCAAGACCCAGAATGTTGCACATGGTGGTTGGATGTGCTCAGCCCGACTGACGAAGAGATGAAGATGTTAAGCAAGGTACGCTTAATCTGTGATTAAATGATCATGTTTTTCACGTTTTGGTAAGGCCTTCGGGATCCATCCGCTCACTACTGAAGACATCCAAATGGAGGAAACGCGCGAGAAGATAGAGCTTTTCAGAAATTACTATCTCGTCTGTTTCCGAAGTTTCGATCAAGATTCATACAGTCCCACATACTTGGAACCATTGAATATGTACATCATTGTCTTTAGAGAAGGAACACTGTCCGTAAGCATTGCTCTCCATATGCCATTCGTTGTTACTCCTCTAAGGTTTGATCCGCAGTTTCACTTCCGTCCAACACCTCACCCGTCTTCCGTTCGAAGGCGAATCAAGCAACTTAAAGATTACATCTCCGTCACCTCCGACTGGATCTCTTACGCCCTCATCGATGACATTACCGACGCTTTTGGACCTCTCATTCAAAGTATTGAATATGAGGTCGACTCTATCGATGAACTGGTGCTAATCTTAAAGGACAGCACAGAGCAAAGCGATATGTTACGACGAATTGGAACATGTAGGAAGAAAGTTATGGGGCTGTTGCGTCTGATGGGTAATAAAGCGGACGTGGTGAAGGGTCTGGCAAAGAGGTGCAATGAGAATTGGCAGGTTGCTCCGACGAGTGATATTGTGCGAGAGTTTCATCTGTTTGTATGAGCTAAGCTGAAGATGCTGCACATTCCAGGGACTATATCTTTCCGATATCCAGGTAAGCTCGTCATTCTGCCGTCGAATATGAAACTAACTTTTCGGCTTGTTATCAGGACCATTTGATAACCATGACTCAGTCACTAAACCACTACGAGAAAATTCTCTCTAGATCGCACTCGAACTACCTCGCTCAGATTTCAATCGAAATGACGGAAGCAAATAACCAGATCAACGATGTCCTGAGCAAGCTCACTGCGTTGGGTACGGTTCTCATCCCTATGAATTTGGTTACTGGTAAGCATTCGCTCTACCTTTTGAGTATGGACGGCACTCAATCTGGTGTTTTTTCTTTGGCGAAATCTAGGCTTATGGGGTATGAATGTACATGTACCAGGAGAGGATATTCCAGGTTATGCTTGGTTCGTGTCCATCATCGCATGCCTTGCTGCTTTTGCAGTCATTGGAGGATATACGACATACAGGTTGATGTCTAGACGGTAGTAAAGTTGAGTTGAATCTCCTTCACAAGGTTATCTTTTACCGGCAACACTGCAGAGGATATGCAGAGGTATATCATCACGTCCCTTATACGCGATGTCCCTTGATGTTTTATACACAAGGATTTTCTTAGATTTTTTTGGGTACACCTACAGGACTTACGGATTCACGGCATTGATTCATTATTTCTCAATAAGCGCATTTTCACACGATTCAGCTATGACTTAGAAAACAGTGATTCATACTGTATTTCCACTTTTATTTTACACAAGGGTAATCTTGGAGGGGTACATACCACTGTACCTTCATTCTTTATACTACATCATATATCTCTCGAGGTCATTCTGTGAAGTTCATAAATACTGAATATTGGTTACTTAGAATATCGTAAATCGAGAACTCATTCAAGGAAGGACGCATTATGGATGCGTTGAGGACGCGACCTTTTTTGTTCCAGTCACAGTTGCCGTGTCCTACTGCTAATTCTGCCGCGTTTCTCTCCACCTGGTGTTCGGTCACGATGAATGAACCCAAGCCCTCTATCAAATAACCAAATCGAAGCGGAATTTCAGACTGTATGCTCCTTACCTGGCTTTGGACCAACTACGAGCAACACCATCTTGTTTTCTATGCATGGTTAGAAATTCCGGATGAATGTACTTTTTCTCAATTCGCAATCACGGAAACACTTGCTGGCATCGGTACATCGGTTCAATATCGGTCGCTCTCTGACGCGACATCGTGTATGATGGATACTCTTCTTTGGCTGTGGTGAATTCATATTCAATAGGAACGGTAAGTAAATTATGAGAGTCATATCCCGCTTGTTTCTTACAAAAGCACTTTGGGACGTGCGTCTCCGGTCTGCAATCGGCGAACACTATCCACCAGCGCCCCAGACAAAAGCAAGCACTGCAGTCGGTTCACGCCCGATCCACGTAGAGAAAAAGACGGATATCATTTCTGTCGAGCTAGGCTCAGTGCTGTTAGGAAGATGCACACAGTTGAAGATCCATCCCATGATAAGTCACACGTTACAAACTTATTTTATATTTTACAAGTTGATTTGATATTGTCTCAAGTAATATAATCACAAGCCCCCATTGTCTAATGGTTATGACGTCAGACTTCTATATCACGTGGTTAATCTGGAGGTTGCGGGTTCGAGTCCCGCTGGGGGTTCTTATTTTGCCAATGTATTATCAAGTTAAACAGAGGGCTTTGTAATTTTACAAGGCATTCAATTTGTGCCCCAAACTTTTTTTTTGGCTGTGGTATAGGCTAAATCCTATATCTGAAAAGACCTGACAGTGCTCATACTAAACATCCAAAAATAATTTATATAAGTAAACTGTATAGTGGCTCAAATATCCTGTGCAGTGTGCACAAACTTTGCCATGCAGCAGCACAACATTTATTTTCAAGATTGCAATATAGTGATACAAATTTAAGGCAGTAAGCTGTTATATCTGTATGAAGCTAAGTCCTTATGAAGCTTTGTGATTGTTCAATACCTCTGATATATTACTTATATCCCTTCACCACTATGTATTTCCTTTGCAAAGGATTTCCAATGTGAAGTAGTTCTTTGTCATCTTCCTCATCATAATCAGATGAGAATTATTCCTTTTATATTCCTTCCTTTGTTCTTCTCTGATGAGCTAACCCATTCAGGCCTAGTATTGCTTTACAATCCTGGCTACAGTATCAAATAGGTGTGGTGATGAAGGGAGAAAGCACAGACTCAAGCACAAGCCGAGCTGTGGAGTGGGGCTAGCACCACACACAAAGGTGATCAAGACAACAGCAATAGCACAAGGGCTAATCACTAGGGTTGCACAAGGAAAACTAGTTCCAAAGACCAAGTAAGTATATTGAGTGTAAACAAAGGTACAAGTACTAACCTAGTTCCAAAGACCAAGAGGTCAAGATGGGGAACTAGGTGTCAACTACTGTACTATATATATGAGTGTCCGGATGAGTAAGTGACAGCACGGGAACCCAATAGAAGTATCTGGAACATGATAGAAAGCTCTGAAGGATGATAGAAGGGAGTAGAAGGATCTGAACAGTAACAAAGATAAAGAAAGGAGGAAATGTAGGAAAAATGAAGTAAGTACCATATCCTGTGTAAAACATCATGACAATAGGTAGTTCTTCAGTTTAAATATCAACCTTGATAGCACTTCAATAGTGATACCATTTAATTATCAACTATCTATATCATCCTTTTAATATCCCTCTTGTCAGTACATTCTGTGAAGGTCATTGGGAATGGAACACTAATTACTTCTTCTCTTTTGGACACACAATGTGTTGAGGACTCCATTAATAGTGGAGTCAACATCCTACTAACTATTTGGATCATTTCCTTCACAAAGTATTTTCCTTTGTGTATTCACCTTCCACAATTAACCTCATGACACTAATTCAACAATCCCTATGTGCACAATCATAACACAAGCTAACTATCAGTTTATTCATCATTTCAGAATGCCCACTTTTTCATCTGAAGAACAGCATTAAAAGTCACTGTATATACTTTTCCTTGATTGGTAGATTGTTTTGCTTTTTTCTAATGTTTGCTATTCAAAATATTCTCCCATCTTCATAGGTTTTATATATAATAGTTACCTTTCTATTTATGTATATTGGTATGTGATGCTGAATGATGCAGTGTAGAGCCTTGGCAAACAAGTTAAAGATGTAAGAGGCTGAGCAAAGTTGTTATATATATGCAAATCAAGTTATTCCACAATTCTGCAATACAATTACCTCCTTCATGAAGAGCTCCTACACCAAGGACTACTTTGTTATCTTTCCTCATCATTATCTAATGAGTTATTGTCCAAAGAATTAGCAGAATTATTTGTCCATCATGTTTTTCTAAACACAGAGCTCCTAGTCATGTCACCTCTGATCGTGGCTTCGGAATTCATCTCAGCATTCTTTTGGGCCTTAAGTGAGGCTCTTTCTATGAAGTTACATTTTACCTCTGGATACCATCTGAGGTGGATAGACAAGTGGAACAAGTTAACCAGACATTGGAATAATACATTTATATATATTGTGCATATCAACAGGATGATTGAGCAAACCTTCTGCCTATCACAGAATTTGCATACAACAACACTCTGAATGCTTCCACTGGTATTACTCTGTTCTTTGCAAATAAAGAGTATCATCTGAATATTACAGTGAAACCCAAAATTGATATCCATTCCAATTGCACAATGGACTTTGTGATTAACTTAGATGAGCTTCATTCTTTCTTCCACAAAGAAATTACTAACACACAAGCTCATTATAAAGAGCAAGCAGACAGAAAATATGTTACTCACCCTGAACTCCCAATTGATTCACAAGTATTTGTGCTAGCAAAGCATATCAAAACCACTCACCCCACTGGAAAATTCTCCAAGAAATATCTTGGACCTTTCAAAGTTCTTGAGCACATAGAAATTCTTTCCTACAAGCCATAACTCCCTTCTTACCTTAGTCATATCCATCCTGTGCCAACTCAAACCCTATACTCTGAATTTTATTCCTAATTGCAATCAACCTCCATTGCCTCTGGTAAAAGTTGATGGTGAAGAAGAATATAATGTTGTGGAAGTTTTAGATTCAAAATTAGATTGTTGATACAAAAAATGACCACTATGCTACTACATATAGTGGGCAGGATATGAAGGTACAGATGAAGAGTTTTCCTGGGTCACTGTGGATGAAATTCATGCAGACAAGCTGGTTTCAGCTTTCCACATCCACTATCCCCACAAACCTGGACCATCATGATCCTCACAAATTCCCTTCTGTCCTTCTTCTTACATTACTAATTTTTTCTTCCTTCCTTTGCTAAAGTGCTTCACAATCTATTTCTTGCAAAATGAACTTCACTCACTACATCATTCAAAACCTTGAATGAAATTTTATGTGATTCCAATCTTACATATGAAAAATTTCAACAAACAAAAAGACAAAAAATTTACTTATATTAACAAAAAAAAACAATAGACAACATCAAAAAACAAACACAAAATAAAATGAAAAACTATTATACAATTACAAAGACCTATTAACTACAAGTCCTTTGTGGAGATACTACTTTGTGTGTTTCTTCCCTTTGCAAATCCTTCTCCTTCTTTCTTCTTCATCTACTTCTCCCTCTCCATCTTCTTCATCATTTTCTTCATCTCTTTCTTCTGCCCTTACTACTTCTTCTTCTTCAGGCAACTGCTGTATGAGGCAGACAATGGCCTCTATTGCAAGGGCTGACTGGCTCACAAAACCAAGAAGAGGTCCCAGCTGCTTCTTTATCTCCTTGTTCTGCTCTGTGAGCAGATTCAACCTCTCCCCAAAATTAACCTCACCAACTTCCTTTCTGTGACACATTTCACGGGACCATGATAAAGGTCTCCTTTGTCATGATGTGCTACACAGGATATGGTACTTACTTTATTTTTCCTATATCTCCTCCTTCCTTTATCCTTGTTACTGTTGGGGGATCAGTCTACATTCTTCCATATCCTTCTGTTAAGGCCATGCACTGGAAGGAAATAGATCAAGGTTCCAGAGCTCTGTTTGAAGCTTCAAAGCCCGGAAACTATAGTAATGGCAAAACGAAGTAATGGAAATGCTACATGGGCCTTGGAAAGTGATGGGACTTCAGCAAAGCTTTTGGCAACGCTCCCTACATGTTATCTGGGTGTCCCTGCGAAGTGCGAAGAAGAATGAAGTTCTGAAGCGTCAGAAGAATCTGATTGATTGATCCGGATGTGATTAAGCATAATAGAGAAGGAGTATAGAAGGTAACTTTTATTTCAAGCTGGGGAACCAAACTAAACAAGTTGACCTAAGTACTAAACTGCCTAATTGTTAAATAAAAGACAATAAGTGAGAAGGATTTGAAATAATACAATAATGGTGTTTTCCAAGAGCCGACAGGTGTGAGAATGCATCAGTCATGATGACCGAGTGCCATGTGATGTATCCGAGGTTGTTCCGAAGTTATTGAGCCAAGGAACAGAGTACGAAATTGATTGAGATTCGAGTTGAACTTGGTAACTGTTAAGATTGTGCAACTCCGGAATTGCGGAATAATTGCGGAATGATCACAATGTAATCGTGGAATTGGTTGGGAATGCAAGGGGATAATTCCCTCGCAAAGGGAGGAGCGATTCCCAGAGTTATGGAAAGGTAGTTGGACATCGACACTACTATCAGTAGTGCCCTCAACACGTCGATGGTCCAATATGAAGGTAATAGCAGCATCAGTTCGCGAAGGTTGCTTTGCGGAACATCAGAGCTGTGTTGAGAATGTATCACAGATAGTGAACATCTGTAATACGAAGAGAGAGCAGATCTAAGTTGATATTAAAACTACAGAACTACCTATTCGATGTTGTAGCTTTATACTATGCATTACATAAGCGTTGTGAAGCGATACTAACTCCAAATAGACTAGCTTGTGGAGTAAAGAACAAAGGAAGGGATATAATAGGTATAGTACTCATCCGATAATGATTAGGAAAGATAACAAAGGATTCCTGAGCTTAAGAACTCTTTGCAAAGTAATTAATTAAAGAGTCCTAGCTTAGGAACTCTTCGCGAAGTAGGTAAATGGATCGCAGAATCACAGAATAACTCAATTCACATACATATGACAGTAACAAACATGAAATGGATCGAAAGGATGATCGATTGACTGGAAGATTGGCCGGAATGCTGGAATGTTCATATAGTGATCAATGACCTCGGAAATTGGTCCGGAAAGCATAGTGGAGCTTGGCATATATATAACACCTTCTACATCGTTCTGCATTCTTCTATCACATTCCAGATACTTCTATCAACTTCCCACGCTGTCACTTACTCATCTAGACACTTGTATATATAGTACAGTAGCTGACACCTAGTTCCCCATCTTGACCTCTTGGTCTTTGGAACTAGGTTAGTACTTGTATCATTGTTTACCTTCAATATACTTACTTGGTCTTTGGAACTGGTTTTCCTTGTGCGACCCTAGCGATTGGCCCTTGTGCTATTGCTGCTGTCTTGATCATTATCTCTTTCAGCCTTTGTGTGTGGTGCTAGCCCCACTCCTCACTTTGGCTTGTGCTTGAGCCTGTGCCTTCCTCTGTGCTTTCTCCCTTCATCACCGCATCCTTCATCCATCTTTGACC